TAATCCCAGGGCTTGGGAGGCTGAAAACAGGAGGATCACTACAAGTCTGATCTGTGTAGTGAGACCTTGTAGACCCTGGTTTTCTTTTCTTTTTTCTTTCTTTCTTTTTTTTTCTCTTTTTTTCTTTTTCTTTTTTTTGCATAACGGGGGATTGAACTCAGGCCCTTGCTCTTGCCAGGCAAATGCTTATTCTACTGAGCCATCTCCCCAGCCCTAGACCCTGTATTAACTACATAAAACAAAGTAAAATAAAACAAATAGAGGACTGCACACAATTCTATTGTATAGATGTATCACAGGTTTTTTAATTTCTCGTTGTTGAACATTGAGGCTGTTTTGGTTTTGCTGTTATAAAAAACACCTCAATGGAAACCTTTTTACACTAATTTTATTTTATTAGTTATTTATTTTTGCAGTACTGGGGATTGAACTCAGGACCCTGTGCTTGTCTGGCAAGCGCTTATTCTACTGAGCTATCTCCCCAGCCCCCTACACTAATTTTATATGAATATCAAATTACATATCTAAATCTAAAAGCAGAATTATAATACCACAGCTACAAAAATAAGATTTTGAGATTTCTGATGCCATTTTATGAAAAGTTGCATCCTACTTTCCCACTACCTCTGTGTGAAATGCTCCCTCAGCTCCTTCTTCCATAACAGAGAAAATATTTAGCTCTTGCCCTGTTCATTTATTTTTTGCCCACTAGTGAGACTTAACTTTTTTCATGCACTTATTGACCATTTGCATTTCTTTCCTTTTTTTCCCCATGAAATTCATGTACTTTGCTCATTTTTATTCGTTGGTTTATCAACTTCCCTTTTCATATTGTGGTTTCCTTAAACTTTCATAAAATTTAAATATGTATATGTCAGATATACCAATTCTCTCTACATGACTTTTTCCTTTGCTTATTTTTATTAATGGGCTTTTTTTTTTTTTTTTTAAGGTACTGGGAATGGAAATACTATCATTGTACCATTAAGACAGCCTCCAGGCCCTTGTTGAGACAGACCATCGTTCTAACTTTCCCAGACTGGCCTCAAACTTGTGATCTTTCTGCCTCAATTTCCAGAGCGCTTGGGGCCACAGATGTGCACCACTGCTTTGGCCCTCCTTCCTTTTTTGCTTAGGACCTTCCTCCCATTCAGAGATCAAGCTTTAAAAAATAAAATAAAATAAAAATGTTTTTAAAAACCCCACAATTTTTTTTTTTTTAGTTCTCTTACGGTTGTATTACTTTCGGGTTTTATTTTGACAGTGAAGTGCGAGCTGGAGTTCCATTTCTCTCCGCCTAATCCAGTGCAACTAACTCTACCCTCGTCATAATTGCTCTAGCGTTCATCTACTGTGGATTATAGGTATGGGGCATACGCAGGAGTGAATAAGCGTCGTGGAAGACACAGTGCCACCAGAGGTGTGCACATCTGGACAGGACAGCGGATAAGCGGAAAACAGTTGTGCCTGTTGGCAATTACGGTGATTGCTGTAGGTCATAATTTGATAGTGGATAAATTGAACACATGCCTTTCCTCCCCCCCCCCCCAAATAGTTGCTCATTAAAATGTCTATTTGAAGATTTGAACGAAGCAAGTGAAGCAGGACAATCATCCCCAAATAACCGAGTCTGTCAATGCAATTCCATAACCGTCTCAGGAGCCGCGTCACGTAGGTCCTCGGACAACACCCGGGTATGAAGTTGCAGGGGAAGTTCAAGCAGAGGCCGTCGGTCTTCGAGGATTTTTCTCTTGGAGAAAGCGAAACTCTATTCTTCAGCGCTGCGCTCCGGGCGCCGCGCGAGGACGAGTGCAGAGCGGGCTCGCCGGGCGTCTCGCCCCGAAGCCGGCCCGGGCGGCGCAGGCTCGGGCGGTCGCGCAGAGCGCGGCGGAGGCCTGGGAGGACGCCGAGTCCCGGCTCCCGGTTTCCTGCAGAGGCGGGTGAGGCGCGGGGCGGGACGTCAGCGCGCACCGAACGTTCCTCTGCGCTCGGGAGTGCTTGCAAGCCGCCGGGAGGAGGCGCCCGCAGGGGGAG